TACATGTCACTTGTTAATCTATTGGAAAGTACCGGTGTCGGTGTCATCTGTATGTCAAGACACCACTGAATTGCCATGCAGAGGCAAAACATCTGCACCGTGGTGAAAATTTGAGGGAAAAGTCAGTAAGGACCATAAGGTGCGAGTGCATGATGATGCTTGCACTGGGCACTGATGTTAGGCTACCAACTAAAGCATAACAAATTACGTACTATCGCCGCAGTTCAAGAAGTAACTTGTACTCGACATCCAGACTGTCAATCACGCGATATTATGGCGTGCAATCACACGAAGCGAGTGGGTAAGCATTCTGCGAATGTAAGGTTTGGCTCTGGAACTTTGGTGTGGATGATGTTCAACGGGGTTCGAAAAGGCGATATGTTACTTCCAGTTCACATTATGCTTCACTCTATGTGAGAAGTTCCATGAGATGGAATAGCTTCTGGGATTACGTTCACGTAGTCTCTGTCAATCGCTGTAGTCTAACATTGGCAAGCAGTTCGTTACTTCACCGAAGCAGATACGGTCGACGAGCACACCCTGATGCATTACTCCATACTTCTGCTGAGCAGTGAATGTTCAGAGATGTGTGAGCAGAGTAGTATATATACCACTTAGTGACGCGTCACGAACTTGCGTGATGCAGAAGCGGAGACAGTGTGTAACTAAACTATTGGCAATAGACGCAAAAATATTGAACTGAACAAGAATTATCGGGTTGCAAGAGCTGCTTGTGCAGGCAAACCGGATTTGTCTCAGAATGATTGGGATCAAATGGAGAACTGACAAGATAGGAAGGGAACAAGGATAGGACACGCTGGAGCAGCCACCGCTGTGAAAACTGAAGGGAGAGCCAGAACTGAAAGAACCGAAGGATTGGAAACCAGAAGGCACGAGCTCTAGTCCAGGCTGTGGGTGTGCATAGATACGGCGAAGAACGCTAGCGATGATAATCGCGAAAAAGGGACCAGAAACAAGAACAAGTAGATCGTTTATATCAGAAGCAGTGACAGTAAATAAGTTGTATCCTGATTAGCCGCACGCGCATGACAACAGTCGGGTAGCAATTCAGGTATGAGATGGGACGTTTGAACAATAAGTGTCGGCGACGTGTCACAGATATCTCTGCGTCAGCGTGCAAAATACACGAGTGGAAACGGCACGCAGACAGACAGGGAGACATACCCCCGGTTAATTACATGTGTGCATCACTGTTCCAAGGTCAAATCATCCGGTATATGAGAATAGCGAACCAGAACTTTTGACGTGATTCGTGAGACATAACGGATGTCAAGGAACAGACCACGAAACCATACAGGACAGAGAGTTTAGCGTTGCTCCAAAGTTAACGTTTCTTGAGGAACAAGCTTGAGTTCTGCCAGGGTTGCATTTGCATTCAGTGTTGTTAACTGAAACACAAAAGGAATAAAGAAAACAATGAGAAACAGTGGAACAGCGAGACTGGGTTGACAAGAATAGTATCGTACAATACACCAGAGAGAAGACTCGGACAAACTAACAAAGCAGCTGGAAGCAAACTAAAGACTCATGAACGACCATGTCCACGAGCAGGGTATACCACCACTAACAACAACAAACGCTAACTTCATTGGGTTTAGAACAAAATGGTTTTTAGCTGAACCGCGACTCTCGGAAAAGGGATATGCACGGAACAATCAAACTGTCAAAATCTATTTTTTTCCGGTGACGAAAAGGAGAGAGAAAACTACATTTTTAAAAGATTATCTGCACAAGAGGAAACAAGTCGCAAACATCAACAGAGAGAAGTAACGGTTTAATTTTTATGCGATCCTCGAGTGCCAGGTTGGACACATTCTGCTGATGATTAGATCCATCACGAATTCGAGATAGTTGAGATGGATAAAGGTAAATTGACGGACTTAAGGGTAAATCATCATTTTATTTGAAAATGAATCAACCGGTCGCACAAGAAAACAAATTAGCACAAGTTAACTTGTTTAGTGATCACCCATCGCGGGACTATGTTCTGTATCCCAACCCCCCTCTTGTTATGACGTTGGCACTATGCTTGTCCGTGAGTCGGTGTTGCACACACACATTATATATATATATATCCTGTATGAGCCCTCACCAACAACGTGAACGACGAAGATCAACGAGTCTGCAGCTGTGCGGTTCTGACGGTGATGATTCTAACTCTGATGAGACGCATGTCCAGCTTAACTACGAAGAGATTATAGTTTTTTTCGAGACAGTTAAACTTGATCAGGCACCTTGTCAGATGATGCAGTATCTTCGGCCTGGATCTTAACTTCTATTCTCACGACAAGTGTAAAAGTAACCGATCTCTTCGCCCGAGTGATGAGTGTACCTATGGGGAACGACTGGCGTTGTTTGTATTCAAGGATGTATGCGGTCGCGGATGCATACGAACTGTATTCCAATTGATAATTGTTTGACGTTTTTGCCATTTTATTATTCAAGTTTTCAGGTAAAGCATTTATACACCGAAACAAAATCCGTAAAAAGGTGCAAGTTTCCCCAATTGAAAATAGACTATATTGCTATTCAATACAAAGTAGTCGGAGTCTAGGCGCCATGTTGGTGTGTCCGGAACACGAGGCGTTATTCGTTGTCCAAATTTTACAATCACCTTGCACTGGTTGTTTGCAGATTTGCCGGTAAAAGGGAATCCGAAGTACCCAAATCAGAAACAATAATTATGTATCATATATATGATCACTGTCATGCGAACAAGCATGATGACAGCGTAAACACAATGGAAGAAAGGGGATTGGAGAATACAGCAAAAAGATAGATTCGAAAAATTTACAGTGGATTAACAATGCGAGAAACCGTTTTTCTCACTCTTGATGTTTTTGTATTAGTTTGTCTTTTTTACGGAGCACGGTATTTTAACAAGCTACCCTTACAGTATTTACTGGACCATATCTGGTAGCGTCTCTAACGAACAGGCAGGAGGAGGAATAACGCGATCGCCATATTGCATGCACTAATAATATGAAACTTCAGAGCAAGTTGAATGAGAAGAATGATCTAACATTTTCCGATGCTCGGAAGATACTTGGGCAGGATGGCGATCTCATTNATCTCATTACAGCAAAAATCCATGAGTCGGTTACATCAAGCTAGAACAATTCACGAATGAATAGATCCTTGATTCAGTGCAAATCTTCTTATATTCAGAACACAATTTGCTCTGACCGGTGGATCCCAAACACAAACAACTAATTGATGTATATTGTGTGACGAATTCCATCTACGATCCAAGTGCCGACTTAGGGATGCGCAATGTCATTCCTGTAGTAAAGTTGATCATATTTGGGAGGTATGCCGTCAATGGAATTGCAACATGGTGAGGAGTATATCCTGCCGTCAAAAGGAACCAACCCGATTTATATTGCATATTTACAATACGAACAATGGTTGAATACAAACAATTTATTTTCAAGGTCATTGTTTTCTAATCCGGAGTTCGACACAATTTTATTGTGGATACCGGCAGCGATGGGTACATTATTTCACGTGCAACACTCAAACATGTATGTCTAAACGCTACTTTGAAACCGACTATAACATGAATCCACGGTGTAACCAAGCAGCAACTTCCGCTATCCGGTGCGAAAACCTTATCGGTCAATTTCCACGAAAACAGTTCCCATTTCAGTTTGTACAACAATTAACCATGCACTATTGTGCGCCGGTTTTGGTTGCCCATTTGGATAAACATAAGGAGAAAGACAAGAAAAATTGAAATTAGCATCAAAGAGAAAATTTGGAGTTTTATTGGACTAATGTTGTAGAGAAATTGACGAGATGCAGGAACGCCATTGTTTACGACATTCAACTATATCACTCAGTATCTCTAACTATCGGGTACNATCGGGTACGATCATCCCGAGGTCCCTGGCCAGGGAGCCTAACGGGACCTATTCCTGGTTAGGGTTTTCATAATCTCATGCCAGGTCTTAGCTTGACCACCCTTGGCATCCTTCCACCCACTACCTGCCTCGGAGAACATCGCTCGCTGTGGAAACCCATCTGGTGACATGCGTAGCACATGCCCAAACCATTGTAGTCTATGGAGGTCGACCATTTGATCCAGTGCCCATTCGAGTCCTGGTGTCACAAAACGGTCCATCTAATCTTGGATTGATGACAATGTGAATGCTGGGACATTCATTAAGCCTAAATGCGAGTGAATCGAAATCCGATACTATTGAAGAAATCTGAAAGTTGGTGATATGGTGTACTGAAAATAGGGGAAGAATGAGCGTTCCACAAACAGTGTTGCAGTTCGACGGTGAGCCAATATTCCTGAAAAGGTGGATATAGATAACGTGAGGGCGTACCGAAGGCGATGGAACGAATGGAGCAGAACGGTGTTATTTCGCGAGTGACGTCAACATGGACAGCTCCGATCGTTGTGGCAGTGAAAAGTAATGAAAGAACTCCGAGGATAGTTGGTGATTCCTGATTAGAACTCAACCGTCGTTTACGAAAATGCGCAGCGACGACAATAGAAATGGAGAACTTCGTGAAATCCTTGCGTGGTTATCAGTTTGTTTCCAACACTATTCGGGCAGATACCTACCTTCAGATTCCATTGCATCGGGAGTCATGGGCATTAGCAACAATCAATACACCATGGTGACCGTTCCAGTGCAATTTTCTCCCCTTCGGTTTACATGTATCATTCGGAATATGTCAGTCCATAATAGACAATGTTGTGTTTGGGTACGCGGTTTCACAGGGTATCAACAAGATGTGATTGTGTTTGGAGCAACCAAAAAAGTCCATGATAACAATTTGAGCGATTCCTGGAAGAAAGTGGGCATCAAAAATCCCCCATGTATGTTTGGAATGAGGGAGTAGGAATTCCTGGGGTTCATTGTCTGCTACAAAGGATATTGACGAGACCCCAGCCGATTGAAACCTTGAAGGAATATCGAATCCCCGAAAGGTCAACATCACCGACGATCAATTATGGGATACCTTCAATAGTATTCCCGATTCATTCCCAATTTCGTCACAAGGACCCAACCTTGCTTGTCGCGTAATCCGCTGCGGAACGCAAATGGACCGTGGACTGTCATAGGCTGTAACGCGACCTGAGGTACGAAGGGACAACTCTTTGAGGATCACCACATATTTCTCAGGTACTCCATTGTTCAGCAAACAGCTACATAGTGCGGTTCAATCGATAGAATCGAAGGAAGAACGGATGCTTGAGAACAAAATAACCGATTGTCTAGCAACCGTTCAAGGGTAAAGACAGGATCGATACATCCATGCCCGGCGCGAAACCCAGTCTGCTCTTCAAGCATGTTCTACAACCTACGCTAAAAGCTTTGACGGTATTGGGATCAGACTCATACCTCTATGATTAGGGCAGTCACTGTGCGCACCCTTTCCAACGATGGGAACGACAATCGATTCCTCCGGCGCCGAGAACCTGCTCAGTGTTCCAAGCTTTAGAGAATAAGGCCACTAATTTTCTAACAAGCTGAATCCCAATATCTTTAAATAAAGCTGGGAAGACTATCGGAGCCCTGTGTTTTGTGACAACCCAAGTCTGGATCTCCTTGCGGATTTCCATCGCAGAAGGTGGCTCTATTAAGACAGATCATGGGACGAGAGCTGAAGTAGATGATGGCCAGCTTTACTGTGTCTCGAAGTTCTCCGCTCAGTGTGCAGGACGTCGCTGTTCGTTGTGAGTTAACAAGCCGTCGGTTTAACAGGAAGGTTAGCTCACATGCAATACTTTCCTACCGGTGACCAGGATGAGATGGGAGATTTACTCATGGAGACAGCATGTTTCATTTCTGATGCCCGTTGAGTCTGTCAGATTTTGCGGTCTCCGGGTAGACTTGCATTGAGGTTACGTCTCGTAACTAGTAGTGCTTCCTTATGCTCGCTGATTGTTTGGATTAATCATCATGGTGCAGAAACTCCGCATACATCCAGAGTGTCAAGACAAGGGACGTGGATGATATTTCCGTCTTTCCCATGAAACGATAGAAAAAGTCTGATTTTCGTAGCGCGTATGGCGTTTGCTTACTCACAAGGGAATCAGGCAATCCACAACTTTGCACTGATTTGCTTATTGGTCCATATTATTCATCCGTTGGCTGGCTGATCCCGATTTCATTTTCTATCAGCTTCTGCTCCACAAACTGTTCCACAACATCATCCATGGCGGTAAAACAGGTTGGACTGCTCAAACGCGTTTTGGGATCGTTTGAGCCGGCTTTGTTTCCACGTCCGTTAGCCACACATCCGTCCATAAACCGAGAACTCAATTCAGGCCTGGAACCCATGGCTGCAGCGAGATCGGAAGGTACTTGAACATCCGCAGAGAATGGCTACCAAGATGGTCAAAGGTCTATATTTCAAGACTTATGGCGAAAGATTACAGCTCTTGGGGCTATACTCGCCTCAATACCGTCAAATCGGAGGCGATATGATCTTACTGTATCGGATTTTCCAACAGCCCAACCAGCCATGTAGATCTCTTTTGGTTCTATCAACCAATGCTCATCTCAGAGGGCATCCACTGAAGTTAGCATACCAAAAGAGCCGTCTCGATAGCAGACGCCATTCATCTGCAGTCAGAGTGTGCAGCAAATGGATCTCTCTACCACCTCACGTGGTCTGTGCGCCAACATTAGTATCTTTCAGGCGTCAGCTTGATGATGCTCTGGCAAACATTATGTTTCAACACCCAACTACATAATATATTCTCCTGTGCTCGTCAAAAACATTACATTATTATTTTACTTATAACGACTAACTGTGATCTTATGAATCGTGTTCCGAACCAAAGTGTAAACACCCTATGGGATTTGATAAGCGAAGTCTTTGTAAGCTTTTTCTCATAATAAAAATTGGTATTTGAATCGTACGAAAAATTCGCCGGTCTCTACCCAGTCACAAATTATATCTGAACTGGTGCGACAATAGAGGAGCGGTTTTCAAGTCAATGAGATCAAAACGAATCGTAGCGGTCAAGCCAGCTGTCGACCGGTTTCATGCAATGCCAAATGACCTTCTAGACAGGAAGAATGATTTCCAGAATAGCACATATTTGAGAGTATGATGTTCACACGTTCTACGGTGTATCGTACTGATGAAAAGGTTATAACTACTCTTTTGATTATGGTTTCCGTCTATTGAACTTGGATTGTACCCCAGTAGACAAATATTAGGCGCGGAGGTATCCTTTACCAATCAAATACAATGGTTTGACGAAGAGAACAGCAATATGCGACATTGTTCTAAACGAAAAATAACAGTGAAAAGGACGAGGGGAGAAACGTAAACAGGGGATGCAGTTTGAATCGTGTACGAACATAGATTTAGTCGTATGTATAATATAGAACGTCACTCGCGACTGCGCCGGACCTGATATGGACTATCTATTCCAAAGAGAATATAATGCGACACACGCCCATTCGGGAGATACCGTGGTAAATACCTTGTGATCAAAAACAGTCTTTGTTGAGTCACCCGTAACCCCACTGACGGATGTACGAGTGCAGCAAAACACAGCGTAAGTATGGCATAACACATACACATGAATGAGAAAGTAATGATAACTAGTGCGACTGCATGGAAGTCAATCGACAATGATCGAGACATAATGTAAACGGATCCATCCAGTTACAGAGTGACTGCATAAAGTAACGCTAACGGATAATTTTCACGAACAAATGTAAAATAGGTGATGGTTTCGGTTTTCACAACAATTCACATTGCACCTTTGTGGGATGGTTTTGGTTTCTGCCAGATGAAGAAATGCTGGAAGCTATGTCAATGTGAGAACCGAGAAGTTAAGTAGACTAGATTGCCAAGACATAGGGTAAATGCACAAGTGTCACTATCTAAGACAGTCACTAAGTGCCTCTAACCGTCAGTTAGACTGATGCTGAGGTCCCCAAATAAGCAACCTAACGTGACCAATACAACCGGGTGCATTGGTTAGGGTTCTCATATCCTCGGGCAGTCTTCGTTGGACCACTTTTGACTTTTCCAGTCATTACCTGCTTCAGAAAACAGCGCACGAGACTGTCTATTTGGTGACAGGTGCATGACACGCCTTACTCAACATGATCTAAAGACGACGAACGCTTGTTCCAGTGGTCGATGGTGATTTCCTGGTAGTACCTGGTGAGCAGTAGTCGAACTGTCTGCAGATAACTGAGAAAGGATGCAACGGTAACATGCGATGGAACACCTGAAGAGAATACATAGAATGTTCAGAGCAAAATCGGGACGAGATTTCTCAACGAGCCTCAGCAACTAATTCAAACTGGCGATGTCAAAAAGCCCTTTCCACTGCGAGAACTCACATCTCGTCTGGGATACGTTGTGAGCAATTTATAATCAGAAACTGGATATCCCTGAGATTCCGCGTAATCCAATACTGTCTGAAGTTTGTCCAGACCGGCGAAACGACGAAGTAGGGTTGTCTGATTCTGATCTGAGTTGGAAGCTGTCGCAGTCCGCGGTAGTCGGAATCGCAACGATGTGATTCCTGCAGCACCTTCGGGTCTAGCCAGGAACGCCTGGGCCGCGGGTGTGTTCGGTGCTGGGGGCTCACGCGGAAGGGTAGCTGCCACGGCTAAACGGCGCTGCGCCGCTGCGGTCTGTTGTTGATCACGCTGACGGGCTAAACGTTCTCGCTGAAGACGTTCCTCTTCTTCCAACCGAGCTTTTTCTTTCGCCTAGAGGTAGGAGAGAAAACGAGGAAGAAAAAATGAAAATATCCACTAACCTGAGAGACTCGTGATTTTTTAGTCGACCGATGGAAAGAGTAAATGGCCCTGCTTGCCACGCTTCGCAAAAGTAAGTTTGAAATTGTTAGTCTTTACCCATAGTATTGTTTCAAAGCTCCTTTAACTTGGTATTAAATAGCCTAGTAATTGCTAGACACAACTCGAATGTAAACAATCTCCCGGAAATATTGACATCTGTCCCAAATGGATGACGGCATCATACTAATCTACTTCATTCTCTGTGATTGGCTAGGAATAGACCAACGCATTTTCAGGCTTCTTGGTTACACTCAAAAGTATTATACACATTTTAGTGATCCAAAATAATGTCGATCTTTGACCCATTAGAACGACTGTTCTGAGTCAGACACTGGTTGGTTAGCACAAAACGCTCATTCAAAGGAATACAACTGGTGTGTAAACCGGTTACTGTTTACTAAGATTGGGGACAAAGCGTATAACGACGCCAAAAGTCGAATTCCGTTTCACGAGTATATCATCAGCTTTATAGATTTCAAACTGGGCAACAAAAAGCATACCTTACTGACCAAAAGTTTCATGTGAAAAATAAACTTGAACTCCGCTTAACAACAGAAGGGTTCATTCAGCCGTACAGAATCCGGACAACATCGCTTCAAAAGGATCTCAGGGAATAGTAAAAAAGGAATCAGTGTTCCAACGTTTTCATCCTGGACACTGAACTGATATGCAAGAGGTAGTTTGGAGGAGACACGGCTCATTTTTCAGATTGATTGCAGAGCATAACACAGATCCGGTGAAGATCCGCTACGTGCAATCGGTTGGTGAATTAAAAGCAAAACACACATTACAATTCGAGTCCAGTTAAGCCAAAGAATTGCTTTACACACCCCGAGAGGTGAGTATTCAGCAAACCAAATAACCATAGTGTGTCTACGACTAACATAAATGAGAAGCATAATACAACAATTAAAGAAAGTGGAACGGACAGCAAAAATCACAAAACCAATGGATTACAATGGTGTTTATCGTTGGTTTACATTAGCATTTTGAGCAGGTTTTCTGCAGTAAGTTCACAGTTTGAGAAACCTGGCGAAATACGGGACAAGAGAAAGTCTGCGTGCAGTTAAAAGCCTATAACTACTACGGATGGATGAATAAGAAAGGCAATAACTAAGAGCAGGGATAGGAAGAAAGAAAACTCTTTCTGAAGGCTGTTTTACAGGACTTGAGGTTAAGTGTCACCACATGCTGCACTAGATGTTCCCGTAGTATAAGACTACGTACGTCGAAGCACGACGATTGTCTTGTTGGAGTGGTCTATCGTTCTCCCTCATTCACGGAGCCAGCAAACGATACACTTTTGTGAGCTATGTCACAAGTCCTATCTGCAAAATTTAGTCATATCCTAATAGTGGGTGATTTCAACTGCCCGCATCTCAATCAAACTTTGACTTCCCATCTATCGTTCCAAAGTCAGTTTAAACAGTTAATCGACTCGCATCCGTTGTACAATTATGTGAAGGAGCCCAAAATGTTTGGCAAACTGGGAACATCGTCGTTGCTGGATCTGGTACTAACCAACGAAGAGCTCATGGTCGAATCCATCGATGTCTCGCCCCCTTAGGACGCAGTGACCATGTTGTTGTTTAAATGTCTGCTACGCTTTGATAGAAAGAAGTCCGCAAAACAATACACGTCTCGCCACGGACTATACTAGATGGCAGAATTTGGCTCACTGCACTCAGCGGATCTTTCCTGGGGACGTAGGCGACCCAGTGGTCACCTGGCATGCATTTACACAGACTTACAAACCTGATCGCCTCAGTTACTAAGGTTGTCAGAAAGTTAGGGGTCCAAAACTCGCTGATTCGCAGCCGCACTAAAAAATGTTTCTACGCAATCGATCTTGGCGAGAATACAATCGATTTCCAACTGACAGCACCTGGAATAAATATCGACAACTGCGAAACCATTGTACTCAAGTGGTGCGCGAGGATAAGCTGATGTACCAAGAAGTGCTCTCACGGAAGTTTATCTCCAACTCATCACTACTATACAAACATGTCAATATGTCGAGGAAAGTAAAGTACGGGATACCCGCACTCAGCTGTCTTGGGAAGGTTGCCAACAACACTCAGGAAGCAGCTGAGATGCTGAAAAACCAATACGCCCAAGTCTTTGACACACCTAACAACGCGAGACTGCGGCTGCCTCGTCGGATACTTTTTCTTCCAAATCCACCAATGACTATCCTCACGTTTGATGCCAACAGAGTGAAATCAAAGCTTCTGAGTCTACGCAAGTATTCGGCTCCAGGTGCAGATAACCTACATCCCCAACCGCTTATTGCATTAGCGGATTACATATATAAGCCGTTAGCTTTTCTGTTCCAAAGGATGTTTGACGTAACCGTGCTGCCTCAGTCGTGGAAACAAGGCATAATTTCTCCAATTTACAAAGGCCGTTGCAGTGATCCTGCCAACTACCGCCCGGTGACACTCTTACCCGTTCTATCCAAAGTCATGGAATCCATCGTGGCGGATTTCTTGATAGAACACTTAGAGAAATACGACCCAGCACAGCATGGATTCCGTTAAAAGAGATCATGTACTACCAATCTGCTCCTGGCCCGCGATGAATGGACAAAGACGATCCAGTTGATGTGGTTTACCTGAACTTCTCCAAAGCGTTCGATCGGGTGAACCACGAAATACTGCTCCGTAAGCTGTACAA